TTAATAAATATTCGATTATGGAAGAATACATTCTTTTATGAATTTTACATATTCCATATTGTATTAAACTGCGATAGATTTAACAATTCTTAATAATTTTTGGAAAATATTGTTACCCTTGGAGATTCTTATACTGCCACAGCTATGGTACTAATTTATCATCGCAGGTACATAATACGTATTGTAGCAATTTACTTACGAATAGTAACAAATTGTCGTCTCAATGTCGGTAATATATTTATTGCCAACGCGGCAGAGCTGTATTGTTAAATGTTAACAAATAGTATATGTACCATTGTAATGAGTAAAACACAAAATTCTAGAAAAGATCCATACCAAGTAACAGGAATTTATTTATTAGACTTCAAAGAAATATAGGGGTGAACTCAGAATGGAGGTCTCCCAACGTATGCTCACCGATTTGGACCAAATTAGCGTCAATCGATCACAAATATAATTAGTATGCAATTTGCAAATGAAACTATCTCCCAATGCGCAGGTTTGGCGGAGATATTTGCATTCAAAGCGGGAAAACTGCGTAGCAAATTTGGAAAATGAAAAATTTGCCAGCCTTGGGGGTGCGTTTTGTCCTCTTTTTATGCAAATATCTCGGCTAAACCTGCGCATTGGCAGATAGTTCCATTTGCAAATTTCATGCTAATTATATTTGTGATCGATTGACGCTAAGTTGGTCCAAATCGGTGAGCATACGCTGGGAGACCTCCACTTTCAGTATTTTTTGAACCTCATGGACCTTAATAATAATGCCTGAATTTCTGTTATTCAAATACTATGTACACATTTCCTAAATAGTGAAAAATTTGGTAACAATAATTAATACATTTTTTTCCTAGGTGACGATTATCATAGGACTCCTATTTGCTTATTTGTTTAACTCAATTGGCCCGAGCATTGTATGAGGTAAGATTTTTATAGATTCATAGAATATAGTGTTATTGATATTGTTTAATTTGGGGGTTGGTTCGATTTCATACTTACCTTCACTTGGCACCATCCAAACATATTTATTCGTTTTTATTAAGTAGCTTCAGCTACTTTATGCAAGGACTTTGTCCGTCTGTCGGTCTGTCCGTCCGTCTGTCAGCAGGATAAAACGGGAGAACGGATCGAGATAATAGAAATCGGGTTTCGCCATCATACATAACCGTACCCTAGGGGGAGGATCCTATCAAATTTTGAGGCCAATCGGACCACACCCCTTGGCGTCAGGGGGTGTGGTTGGGGCAAAATGCGATTTTACCAAAAATTGAACCTATACATGAAATACAGGGAAACTAAGTGTTCCCGCGATGTCGTGGGAGTGGTTGGGGCGAAATGAGTTCGTAGCTACTTCCTTATGTGCGTTTACGACGGTTTATTTACATGCGGGCAGGGTATGAAAACCCTGCCTCGCGGGAAAAATATCACGTCAAAAATGCGAATTCGCGCTCACTAATTTCGTTTAAACTGCGCATGATGAAAAACCCTGAAACACGTGTTTAATTACTTATCTAAGGCTACAAAATTATCGACGTTTCGTCAAAATCCGAGCGAGACCGCTGGCGTCTTCGCTTTTCGAGTTGACGAATTATTTTCCTACCAATGCATGTAAACATTTAAACATTTGTAAATTTTAGCATATTTACTGGGACCTTCAAACTATTTTGCAGAGGGACACCATCACGATGTCGACTTGGATGGTGATCCACGTGTCCGTAACTGCCATCGAGTTGGTCCCTTTGGTACATTCATACGGGATTTGGGGTCAGCAAGAAAACCACCCTTACGTCACCTTGGTGGAAGATGTGGTCAGCTATTGGATGGTGTGGAGTCATTCGAAAGATTTGTTGGACAAACCCACCGTGCCTGACGAACCGTAAGATTTTTGCGTAAAGTGATGAATTTATAAAATAATCCGGTCAGAGGTCTTATTAGCGGCGGTAACTATTTATACACTCAAAATAAGGTAGTAATGAATCATTACCATACGGAATGACTATGTGGCTCAACCACATCGGTTACGATTTGTCGTAGAAATGGTAATAATAATTTCAGGGAAATTCAAATTTATTACCAAATAATAAGGAAGTCAATACCATTATGTATTAAATTTGAATTTCCCTGAACTTATTATTACCATTTCTACGACAAATCGTAACCGACCTGGTAGAGCCACATAGTCATTCCGCATGGTAATGATTCATTACTACCTTATTTTGAGTGTATATATCTGACCCATACATGTTCAAAAAATATTTATTCATTCAAAGCCTTGAAAAAAATATTCATTCATTATTCACTCATTCATAATTTGTAAAAACATATTCATTAATTATTCAACATTTATTCATTATTCACGATTCCTTAATTATTCATTTTATTCAAAATTCAGTATTGGATGAATTTCTCAACTTTCACTATGTATTAAGTATTGAGTTAAAAATGAACGATGAAGAAATATTGATTCATTATTAATTCACACGACTTGAATAGATATTCACTTAAGATTCATTTAGTCAAAAATCAGAATAAAATATTCGTTTAAGATTCATTCAAATTTTGAATATTGAATGACTAACTAATTCATTCATCATTAAATGAATGAATGTGAGCATGTATGTACAGACCCCACCGTGGTAATAAATTGATTATCGACCGATAATATCTTTTCCTATGGATGCCAAATATTATAGATTTGGTAACAAATTTACTACCGGTCGGTAATCAATTTATTACCACGGTGGGGTCAGATATAGTTACCGCCGGTAATAAGACCTTTAACCGCATTATTTATTTACGGTTGTATACATTTTATCAAAATTGTATAGCAACGTGTTAAGATTTTACCCGGCCAAGGCAGTTATATACAATGATGGCTCTATCAGTAGAGTATGAAATAAAATTACATTTCTGGCGTGACAAAGTATTTGTGTGACCTTTATTTAAAAAAGAATGAAATTATTTCTGTCCACAACAATTCATATCCGCTAAAAGGATGATGTCGAAAAGTAGTTAAGGATGTGATAAACCAGGTAACAAATACGACACGGTATGTTATCTCATTTCAATATTAATGTTTTTCATAATTGTTGCATTTATTGGACACAAATGCTAACCAAGGTGGTACATATGAACGGGAAACTGTATTTATGTACTATGGCAACCTTCACCTTGCTCAATAATTCGTGTACCCAAAAGGGATAAGACGAGGTCATTCGTGTATTTATTGTGGTGGGTGGGACGCAAAGTTTTATGCTGTAGTTTAAACTAGTACAAAGTACTCTTAATCTCTACGTAATCACGGCATCCATGCAACTGTAACAATGAAATTGGAATAGTATGAAAAGTTAGATAAAGATTGGTAGATTAAAAGGGTAAATAAAAAAATTTAATCGTTTTGCACAAGGGTGATTTTATGTTTATGTACTAACCAGGGAGATTACGCAAGTATGTCATAGACCCAGGAATTCCACTATATACATTCTAAATACGCGTTTTTTAATTGTAGTCCAGCAATGTAACAAAATTTCCCTGCATAAATTTGGTCACTCTTGGTCACATTTGGTCACTCTATGCCCATTTTGGTGACGGGTGGGGTGTACATATATATGTAAGTCAGCTAACTGGATATGTACTTCAGGGGTGGGTATGGAAACTTTTAATGACAAAATATTTTATTTTCAAATTTTTAATGGAACGGATATATGTACATAAAGTAGATAGACTTCGTCATCACTTATCCAATTCTCATCTCATCTATTACATATTCTCGAATCAATTGAAGCGAATATTTAGCAATATAAGAAACAAAAATGGCGTAAAGAATTATTTGCACTGCAACCATTTGATGTATGTAAATATGCACACAAAATTTACATGTTATTCCCGGGCGAAAAACTTAAGAAATTTGGCTGGGGTTTATGCAGAAAAATTTATGCCGAAACAATTTGTGCACACCAAATATGCAAAATTATGCATAATTGTGCTCGACCTTTCTGTGGAATATACCTGTCAGAAGTTTTATGCACAATCGTTCATACTTTTTCTGCACAAACCATTGTTCCTGCAGCTTGTGTAGAATTCGACATACGATTTTTACACGGTTTGATATGTATACAGAGTAATTTTATCAGCAGAGATCCCATTAAAGTGAAAAGATAACCAGGTGGCCAGACTTTATTGCTCCGTCATATTCACACCTCGTCAATAAAATTCCCACCGTGATGATTCACATTATCTGCGGATTACTTGAAGGGGTTTTAATTTGTATCACGTAGGGTAAAGGTAAAGGTGAACTATGTATGTCGGATGGAAACCACTAAATAATTCTGATTCGGGATTAACGCCGAGGGGTCATCTATTGGCAGATGAAAAGTAAAATTTTGGCGATGGAAAACCTGAACAATGATGGAAACCCGTCAGGCATATGTATGTGCCAACTAATCTGCAAATTTATATAAATTTACATGAAGGGCAAAGTTCGTGCACCAAGTTTTCCATAATTACGTAAGGTATATGTAAATATAGTGAATTAATTGCTGGCCAGTAACTTTCGCTTGATGACATATGTATGTAGCTCCACACAGTTGCAGCAGCCTTTATCACTCGATGTGTTTTTTTATAAAAACGTTGTGCGTGGATAAATATATTACTTCGTATTCATGTAAATAAATACAGTTGACAATAACATTAGGAATTTGTTGACAAGCCATACTCACCGAAGCCAATTGAAACCCATGTCGTCTCATCAGCTTTGACTCATCTGACTGCAAATTCGTATAAATTCACATGAAGTGCAACGTTATTGTACGAATTTTTCCATAAGTGAAGTATGTGTAAAGTGAATTAATTTCTGGTCGGTAAATTTCGCTTTATGACAAAGCTCCAGCAGCCTTAATCACTCTATGTATTTTTTGATAAAAACGTTGTGCGCAGATAAGTATATTACTTGGTACTCACGTAGATACATACGGTCGACACTAACTTTAGGAATTTGCTGACGTAGACTATGCAAAGTCCAGGTGATAATTATTTACAGCTCTGTTATAAAAACCGGTGGGGACGGACGAATATTCATTTAGTCTTCGTTGTCTACCGCAACCTTTAAACATATCCAATTTCTCTAGAAAATATCCAAACATGCCGGTAATTTAAGATATATACAGGGTGGATAAAATTTTACGCTACAATGAAAAATTTTTCGATGGGAAAAGTGCCTAAATTTCCATTAGTTACCGAAATTTCGTCTCTGAACTGAAATTCAACATTTTAAGAATTCTGTCATCAGTTTTGATAATGATTATAAAAATCTCAATCCCAAATCTTGATTTAGGGACTTTTCCCATTGAAAAATTAATTATTGTAGCGTGACATTTAAACCACCCTGTAGGTTAAAATTTTGTCGAACATTTTAAGCTAATCCATCCGTTTTTGTTTTCTTTCTAGGGTTGCAACTGTATCGGATTTTGCAATAGTTCCTCCTGTTTTTGCCAGAACAACCACAGATATTGCAACTCTACGTGTAGATGCTGCAGCGGAACCAGAACGACCTGCAAAAATGGGGGGGTCGCGGCACCAAAAAAGGTCCCGGGTGAAAATCGTGTGTCGAATCGGGTGCAAAAAGAAATCTCGTCCTCCTCGGAGGATGAACGGGAATACAGCCCAGAAGAGAAAGCAGAGGGGATGAAAATGGCAAAAAACTTTATTGGGGGGATTGGAGGTGGACTCTCCGGAATGATGGCGGGTTTAAGTACTGGATTCGCAATGGGCGAATCTCCCAGTTCAGGCAAGAGTTCTTCTACTCGAAAGGAAAAATTAGAGAAAAGCAATTCGGCCACGAGTTGTTGCGACTGTGACACGTGTCATCCTGCGAAATGTGTTTGTATCAGTTCGGGGCTACAATGCGAGGCGTCATGTGATTCTGTGCAATGTGGGAAATTGAGAAAGAAACAGAAAGAACTGTTTCGGGAATTTTTTAATATATAGTTTTACATTTGGAGGTCAGGCGGGCTTGCGGAAAATTAATAAATTGCATGCTTAAATATATAAGAAATAAACCGTTGCAAACGAAATGTAGCAATAGGGTGAAACCACATGAGATAACTTTTTATAAGAGAAATATTTTACGTAAATACCATCCCCACGGTCATCGTACGTCAAAACCATGTCGATTTTTGAAATCCCCGCCCCAAAATACGTCTAGAACGTTTGAAAAGACAAAATTCGACATTTTTTGTCCGTCTACACGGTCACACGGTCATCGCACGTCAAAACCATGTCGATTTTTGAAATCCCCGCCCCAAAATACGTCTAGAACGTTTGAAAAGACAAAATTCGACATTTTTTGTCCGTCTACACGGTCACACGGTCATCGCACGTCAAAACCATGTCGATTTTTGAAATCCCCGCCCAAAAATACGTCTAAAACGGTCGAAACCACAAATTTCGACATTTTCGACATTTTTTGTCGTCTACACGGTCACACGGTCATCGCACGTCAAAACCATGTCGATTTTTGAAATCCCCGCCCCAAAATACGTCTAAACGGTCGAAACAAAAAATTCGACACCTTTGAACGTTGGCGTCGTCGCCGTGGCGACGTGACCTTACGACCTACAATGCCCATCTTCGAACTTGTCCGTACTTTTAAAATTAGAAACACGATGGCGAAAACCGCATATCGAATTTCGAATCCGTTCAATAGTTAGAGCGCGAACGGACAGACAGACGGACGGACGGACAGACGGACAAGGCACATCCATAATAGGGTTTCACCCTATAATAATTATATGTAATCAAATAGTCATTTTATAAGGTATTTGGCATAATCAACTTGGATGAGTGTACTTGTGAATAGCATCAAGATGCATAAATAAAGTAATTATACTCACAGATATACGATTACTTGTGCATCCCAGCAGAGCAGAAGTGCTTGCAAAAGAGCCCACCAACATTTTAAGTAATTGGGAAAACTGCATAACTTATTACTTAAGTTTTTACATACATATATATCTCTCCGAAATCATTGTCGATAGTAATATGATCGAACGACACATCTGCGTTTAATTCTCTAATAGCCAAGTTAGTATCTAGTCAAATTATGTTCGTCATGGCACAACTGTGAACTATGTATGTACGTACGTGCAAATTTAGGCAATGTATCTTACATTATGTTTGGATATATATATGTATGTAGATGTTGCCATGATGACATGGTACATGTGTAAGCGAGATATTGGTGATAGATACGTACATGCATAAGTACTGTGTTAAGGCTTCGTGGTGCTGCTGAGTTGTTGAATCCCATCAAAACCCAGATCCAATTCATAAGTACGCCATATCTTGCATTAGATCTCACACAAACTCAGGCAATCTTTTAGTTACAGCGAGAATGAAAAACATTAACATAAAATTTTAGATATGCACGCATGCTTGTACTTAATATACAATTACTAGTGTAGAAGCCCGTCAATCGACGTGCAAAATAGGCCCGTCGATAAACCCGTTACCCAAACATTACTGAAGTTAGCCCCTCTTGCTCTCTGCAGAGTGTAGAGAGGAAAGGAGAGCTCCATAAATACTGCAGCAGTTGTGACTCTACAAAGGCTGTTACTCATGCAAAAAATTCATGTAACGTCAGGAATGTTTGATACATGATTTTTTGTTTTATTTCCCGTCGGTTACAAAACGTCTAATCATTACCCAAAAATAGTGCACCGTCAAATCGTCACTCCGTGAGTGACGATTTGTCTCCAGATTATTTATAGTGTGTAGCAAAAAGAGAATGGACTTCTGTGCATACTTATGTAGTAACACGGGAAAGGTTACAGTTTCATGAATTTAGTCATTTGGAGGTAATAATCACCTTGTTTAATCTGTGCTTCTGCGGTCAATGTTTATCATGATGTCAAACTACTACCTGTTTACATACGGATGATGAACACGTGCCTGGCTGCATTTACATTTATGTATAGTAGGCAGAGTAGTTTGTAACTGCAGTTTCTCTACTCGTTTGACGTCATTGGAGTGTGTATTCTTGTTCGTAAATAAGTAGTTGCATACTGAGAAGATACATAGTTAGACAGACATACAAACTCGCGTACACACATTATGCATATGTATGTAGACCGGTACTTTTACATACATTTGACTCCATTGAACCTGAATTGCTTACGTGAGTTGGCCCCCGTTTTATTTGCATGAAATTCTGCCTTTTAACCGGATATAAAACGATGCAAGTCTTCATTTCATTTTGATCAAGGCTACAAATCCATTTTGTGCACAGTTAAAGAATCTTAGTCGATTTTTTTAAATTTCTTTAAATATTTTGTTACCATGAAAACAATAATTTCAATTCTTTCCGTAACCTTCATCCTGCGGGATCATTTGTCTTCTTCGACCTTTGTCAATCCCGACGTTTTTCTCAACTCTCGACTCACAAAGGGTTTATGGGTGTCTGGGAAGGATTCTCACTTTTCCCACGGGCTTCTCGAAGGCGGCTGGGTGTGGGGCAGGTCTGGGAAATTGCAAGTGACGCACGTCTGTCGGGCCAAGTCGGGCGGGAGTTTGGACGATGTGAGCATCACCCCGGGAGAATTGGTGAATGGGACGTGTTATATTTCGAGAAATCCGAAATGGGCGACAGGGACGGGGGTGAGTGCGTTCAAGGAAGGGTATGAAGTTCTGCTGAAGGCGGGGGATGTGGATTTTGACTGGGTAGAATTTGACAAGGATGAAGGCACAGTGGCTCATGGGGCACTTACCGGGGGCATTGGGTCACATTATGAGCCCGTCTTGGTAAGTTCGCGGTCCCAAAGCGGGGCAGAATTTAGTTACACAATTGTCTTGTTTATTTTTAATTTCGTACCCAGTGGGCTTGGGAACGTCCATATATTACGTCATAATTTTAGTGGGTGGGTGGTTTAGGTGTCCCTATCTTTCCCATGTTAAAATTTCATATCCCTTAATGTATACGTTGGGTGGGTTGAAGCTAAAATCGAGGATTTTTAGTTACGTAATATTTGGATGGTCCCCTTGTTTTTAGTTGGAGAATGTGTTAGGGAAATATGTAGATGGGGCAAAATATAGTTAGGAAATATTATTGGGAAGTAAATATTTTGCGATATTATAACAAGAATATTATTGTGGCAAAATATTGGAAGAAAATAATTGGGAAAATGGAGCGTAAAATGATAACGATAATCCGAACTTTATAAATTTTTCAGAAATGTGTTCAGATAGTTAAGAATTTTATGGTTACAAGAAAATATTTAAAACATGAACAATTAAATATCAAGGTTAATTTATTTTATTTTAGGTTTGTCGCAAGTACTTTAACAATACGGGGGGAATCGTTCCCAAAACGATGGCAGTCTTGGGAAACTTTTCCCCGAAAGAAGGAAAGTGTTTTTACGAAATGGAAGTCAGAGCGGATTTTCTAAAATGGGATGTTAGTTTTGCAACGGAAAAATTTGAGCTGCTTGTGTTGAAGGTATGTGAAATTGAAGGAATTGATGGAATTTTAATAATTCTGAAGTCAAAGAGCATAAAAAACTGACAATTGTTTGTTCAACTATTTTTGTATTTCAGCCCAGAGGAAAGCAACAATGTGCTGATGAATCAAGCAGTAAACGATCCAAAAGTTCGTAGTTGAACCACTTATTTATTTATATCAAGTTATCAAATTAGCTTAGTTTATTTACACATTTTTAATGTAAGCCTGAAGGTAAAACTTGTATGTAATTTATTGCAATTAATTACATAATTAATAATAATAATAATGTGTTCTTATTGCCTTTCGAGGCCTTGTGCCCATAAAGCACAAATTTTACATAATGTGATTTATAGATTACTTAATTAAAGTAATTAATAAATTAAGTACGTATGAACCTAAGTACGTATGAACGTAACAACTGCGTATCCATTTCTCCAACAGAGTCAGACTTACATAAATATGTACATACGCAATGAGGTTTCGGTATAAATAGCAACCCGGGCATCGCTTAATTAATCAGTAAACTACTTAACCGAATAAATAAAAACTTGTCATCATGTTGCTTCGACTATTTTCCTTCGTGTCCAGCTTCTACTTTGTGGTCGCCTTTCTGCAGGAGGTGACATTCTACACGGAATATGACTTTGGAGGGAATGCTTTTCGCCTCCGAAGTAAAAACCTACTCCAAGCAACTTTGCGGGGCCTTTTAAGATGGCATTAATGCCATCTTGGTAGTTAATGGCAACACATTTGGGTGGAAATGACACCCACCGGCCAACCACTTGACCGATCATGCCCATCTCCGAACTCATCCTTACTTATTACCCGAAGATGAAGCATGCAAAATTTCAACTCGATAGGTTTGGTTTAAAGAGAGTTATCGTGCGCACAGACGGACGCACAGACGGACAGACAGACATCTTGGTAAATCTATAAGGCCATCTTAAAAGGCCTAAAAACCGGATCTAACGGAACACCAGTTTTTCTTGAGAGATGTAAAATCTTCAAGGAAAGTAAGCATTACATATTTAACAGCATGAATGTTTTTTCGAGGAAACTGTTGATTTGTTATTAAAAATATGTACATCATTAGACATAAATTCATAGAAACCTATTTGAGATGGAGACATTAAATTATGTAAATATATTTATATACATAATTTAATGTCTCTATTTCTTAGAGAGATGAAACTCTACAATGTTAGAAATTATTTACATAGTCTCCAAAATAAATGATCTCCAATTTCGAGACCAGTCAGGAGCCGAATTCACTATGCGATTCCAACATAGTCATTTTGGTTAGGATAAGCTTAAAACAAAATCATATTTTTTTAATTTTTGGTGGAATTTCTCTGAGGTGGAAAGCGAACGAATTCTTGCCAAGGTACATTTTTTTAAATTCTAACTTAGCATTCTTATGTAAGAAGTCATATCACTTCTATCCTTCTATTAACAAGCGTTTTCTACACTTATTTATGATAATGTGGTTTACAATAAACCAATCTGGTATAACATTTTACGAAATGTGAATACTTTTTTCACTAAAGTTTAAATTGATACATACATTAATTATATAGTGCCATATCTTCAACGTCCTTTTGAATTTTTACATCCCTGCATTTTGTATATAATCCAGTTATTTACTGTTTGCAAAAATTGGAAACGTTGTTCACGTATTTTTGGTTCATACCACAAACTACGGAATTAGAAGAAAAGTGCGTACATATGCACCTAAATAAGTAAATCCAATTCAGTTAGCAAGAAACACTTTCTTCATTAATTCCAGTATTGCAATGGGAAAGGAAAGAAAAGTTGATGTTTATAACCCTGCGCCCTTCACGAATTTGAATCGTCACCACTGACCACAACATACCAGCAGTTCGTTTACATTTGCAAGCTACAAGTTTAAAGGGCTGATTGCTCAAAATTTCTCGAACGAACGCTAGCACAGCGACAGCTAATATCCCTCCACACAACCCGAGCACTCCGACCAATGCAGACAGCGGGACTTGCTTCGCCTCTTCAAACACGACTTCTTTCTTTGCCCCAAAAAATCTCGTAGCAATCACTTTTCGAGGCAGCACTTTATCCGATCCAGCTTTGACGTTTCCAATCAAAATGTCTAAAACGTCTAAGTCATGCCACCACTGATACAACCCAGATTGCGCTAACTGACCACAACTTTCAAATATGAAAGAAGTCATGCAACCTCGAGTAACAAATATGGGCGAATTAAAAAAAAATATTGGCGATTCTGTGTGCTTAACAATATACGGGTCTCTCTTTGCCCCAACACCAACCAATACTTCGTCTAATTCGAAATCCACATTGGTAATTGCGAATGTATCCTTAACTCGCTTAAAGGCGCCATCTTCAAATTCAACCTTATTTCCTTCAGAAATATTAAGCCCAATCTCAAACATGTAATAGGCAAAGATGAAATTTATCCTGGATTTGAGATTTGTCAAAGTTCTAAATAACTTTCTAGACTGATTCATCTCACCAATTACGTCGTCATCCATGATGAACCTTAAGAGAGTGGTTGGCTTGCGAGTACCCGCCTCAATTCTGCTAGTCGTAATAATTTGAATTTCTGAATCGACAACATATTCCAGGGTTGACGGGACACCAAGTGGGGTATGGGCGATTAGAGAGGAAAACATTGACCCTTGATAAAACACAGTCCCCAAGAGAAAAAAGGACAAGAGGCAAATTATAATTAACATTGGAAAATGCGGTACTGCTTTCAAAATGGCTGAAGTCCCATGGTATTGGGCGGATAGAGATGACAGAATCCACCGCCATGATTGAATGAAAAACGTTATTCCCTTCTTAAATGAACCACCATCCTTCAATGAGACTGTGGTCAGAAGGACTGCCAAGAGGGTTAACGATATCCCCGATGCTGCCCAGGTATAGCCGTCTAGAGGCATCACGAGAGCCCTTAATCCTTCCAAGTGACGATTTCCGAAGGAGACTGTTGCCATTTTAAATTCTTCTCTATGCCCACAATGCGGCACCCAGGAATATATTGCGTATACAGGATACAAAAATCCCTGCTCTATTGCAGCCTTGGTCACAGCAGCGTTATAATTGATAACATCGTTAAAAACGCTTGCATTTGTTTCCCCAGTTGAAAGGATACAGGTAAAGTTGAGCTTCCTCTCAAGCACTGAATGGGTACAGATTCCACGCCCAGAAAATATTTTGCCTCCACGTCGAATCCCGCTACATGTGTGTACTCCTGGATCAAACTTGGTCGCAATACTTGATTCAAGCGATAACCCTTTTACGTCGGAATTGTACCTTTTCCATGACGACTCAAGTACTGTAGGGTGATCGTTTAGTATTGATGGTTTAAGTTCAACTAAAGAATTTGGACCGTAAGGAAGACAGACTACAAATCGTTGGAGTAATTCATCACCATTCCGACTACCATGGAGTACAAACATTTTAGACGTTGACACTGCCAGTGGAACAACATTAAACATTCTGTGGTTCATCACACTTAAAATGTGAAATATATGGTTTGGATTTTCCCCACAGTAACTTAATCGCTCCCGGGTATCCAGCATGTTTTCTTTTTCAAAATCCGTTTCCAATTTATGCAGAAATATGAAATACAGTTGGGTAACAGAATGTCCAAAATATTTGGAGAAGATGTACTCATTTAGTTGACAAGACTCGTAATACTGATTTCCTGTGCTGCTCTCATTTGCCGCAAGACCTTGGGAAAGTTTTGGCTACGCAATAGAAATTTGAATAGCCCTTGTTCCCAAACTGGTTCACGGGTCGGTGTGAAGTCGCTTATTAAGTGGAGGATTGACCTCGCCGGGATTAGAGTTTCAATATCTTGAATAGTAAAATCGAGGAGCATAGGAATGGCTCTAATTATCAGTAGGAAAGTACAAAAATAAAAATGATGTATCATTTTAGCTTGCTGAAAAATTTGTGCAAGTGGAAAAAGTAGAAATCGTGGAGCTGGTTGGTATCAAGATATATGAATATGTTCTTAATAATCGTACAATTATTACCATTTTGTGATTACATGTTCAACTTTTCCGTCATTTTAACAATTTTTTTTACCGAGATATAAAAAAACTTATTACAAGGTGGTAATGTCGGCTACCTCGGTATAATAACCATCATCACGAACTGTATTTACTATACATAACAAGCAGATTCGTCGTCACAGCGAGGCCATAGAGTAACGCAGGTCGCAGTCTTGCAAATAATTATTACAAACAAATAGCTATTACCTTTGGTATCTAATAGCAGTTATTCTCGGATTATATATTTATAGTGCAATTTTAACCGTATCCGTAACCTGTCCCGCTCTTGTCGCTCGAGTCCCAAGGTTATTTTGTCCATATTTAATTCGTATGATGACAATCCAAAATCTCCCAGCTTAATTGGCAAAGAATAAGTTTCCGGACCCACTGAGAAGAAAATGTTATCTGGCTTGATGTCCATGTGTAGAAGTCCACGATAATGTATGTGGTTAACTACCGATACCAAGTCATTGATAATGGAAAGCTGTGTATCATAGTTGTCAGGCCTATCTTCATCTTCTAGCCACTCCCTTAAAGATGGTCCGCAAAGTTCCATTTGAATCATAGGTATCTCCAGGCCGCCAAGGAATTGTCGATTTTGCAGATAAAGCGTAACCCTTTCAGACTGTAGTGACAGGAATTGAGCTCGGGAGAGAAATACGTCCTTATAATGGTGCACTTTAACTAGATTTTCGTGTTGGTCAACTTTATGCAAATTGGCAAATTCGGAGAAGGATTCGCTAGTAGAGAGACATGAGTCATCTTCCCGGTCCATGCCAAATCTCAGGAGAAATTTTATGGCGCATGGTATTTTCTTATTATTATCGTAGGCTGACATTACTGTGCTATAAGCTCCCTCGCCCAACATTCTCCCCAGGGTAATATTGCTCAACCCTTTGTCACCTACCGCTGAATGACTAAGGCAAGGAAGCATGGCGGAATCACGACACCGAAACCGAGTCGTCGAGATATTCTTGGTTCTTTTCTTTAGGTCGTAATGAGTCACCCCATAAATTACTTCTTTCGCGTTGGCAAACAATGGATGGCTATCCAGCTCCATGTATACGGGATTTGGTAGAATGTCTCTAGTAGGGTCATTGAATGGAGACAATCGTACAAATATTTCCATGAGAACTATTTGTTGCATTACTTGACCAAGTGCAAATATGTCTCCTGCAAGGGTTGACGGATTGCGGCCATGCTTCAGTTGTGGTGACAAATATTCGATGTCGGGCGAATAAATGTAACCAAGACGGACAATGGGGGGGACTGGGTTTTATCACTTAGCAAAATATTTTGAGGACTTATACTTCCATGGATGACGTGATGTGAATGAAGGTAGGATAATCCTTCGAGTAGGCTGTTGCAAATTTCCAGTTGAACGGAGTAAATTGTATTTGGTAGGGTGGACGTGACGTATTGTTCGCTGTGATTGAATAACCAATTACGTAAGTTTTTTTTAAGTGGCTCCGTTAAAATTTTTGTTACAAAGCACTTGTCTTTCTGTAGTGATGTAACCAATTCTTGTATCAATGTTTCTGGTTAGTAAGCGTCGTATTTCTTGTAGGTTCATATATCCCAATTCCTCGAAATGTTTAATTTCAATTACATTTCCGTGAGAAAATCCCGTTTGTTTCAAGGCCCAGAGTTTATGGTAATAATCGAATGCTAATTTTCCTAATTGTGTGGTTGACTTGGATACTACTTGACGTTCGAGTCTGAGAAGAAATTCAACCCCGGGGGACGGTTTTTCAAGATGATAGGAGTACACTGATCTTAACATCGGGGTGGATAGAAAGGTGAAGAGTTTCTGAAATTAGACAAAGAAATTCAACTCACAAATTCACTTTTAACAATGATTATTTGTGAAACTCATACTTGTAAAATTGGACAAATTTATTGGTCTTTAAGAAAGTATATTGAATGTTGTCAAGTAATAAAGCACCAGAATGATACTAAATTTAAAACTAAACTTATCTCGTAATTCAACCACTGAAAATAAGTATATACTTAATATGATTGTGCACAGAAGAGTATGTATTACTCATCCGAACAAATTTAGTAACGTATTCGTTCCAACAGGACAGGAAGTGATAACTAGGTTTACATATCTTATCAGGAGAATGTAACAATTCATAACGCTGACTGAATCTGACTCATTAAAGTAAAACAAGTCTGAAATCATTGCACCACGTTTCAATTGCCAAACGCATATTTACAATTCAATTCTAACTAACTCCTGCTTATTGAGCTACATGGCACTCACATATATTTTTTTCATAAGTGAATACATATGTCACTGCAGGATGCATAAGGTTCCAGTTAAATGTTATGCAGTTTGCAATGAATAATTAACTAACCGTGGAAAATGTAGTGACGTGTTTTGGTATTTTCATGGTCTAGAAGAGAGAAGAGAGGTATGAATACAATCTCATTTACATAATAATATTAGAGAAAGGCCGAAATGATGTGAAATTACACGTGCACAAATAAAAATATTGTTTTGAGTATTACTGCCATTGAAAGTTATTACTTACCGGTTGAGATCTTCATATGTATGTATGATTTTGGCAGTTTTAATGATAACTCAAATTAGTAATTTATTTAATTAGTAATTAATTTTCGATGCAGTAAATTTAATTTTAATGACCCGAAATATAATGCATTGCTGTCAGATGTTTGACAAATTCAGTAAAGAAATAATGCAGCATGGAACGAAGCCTTTTGCATATATTTTCATTCTCATGAGACTAGTTTATTCGATGGAGTATACACACATACAGATGATTACGCAAGTATTTACTTTTATACATATTAACTATGCACACAAATGCATTCGGTTGACGTATGTGTGTTACAAAAGAGTTTGCTTTGCCAGTTTTTTTTTGTATATTATCGGTCAAAGTAAGAAAAATGTGGAAGAAGTTCCGTCGAAATTTGTGAGACGCTTATTTAATCATCATCAGGTGGCAACCAAATTTTTCGTTTTGTCTCAAACACACCCAAATTTGCTTTACACTTGACTGGAAATAATTTTAAAAATTATTTTGGACTAGAATTTGGCCGCTGCCTTGATTTCTGACCCAAGGTTTTCAATATTTTGAATTTAGCAAAATCATTGCATTTGCCCTATAGAGCGTCCATAAATCACGTGATCGATTAGAGGGGGGGAGGGGGTCTGAAATTTGTCACCAATTATCACGGGGGGGGGGGGGGTAGATGGTCAGATGTCACGTGACATGAGTATAGTTTTTAGCCCGAACCAGGGCTTATGTAATTGTCATGTCCGTCCGTCTGTCCGTCTGTCTTTCGATAACTCTCGAACGAGTTGACCGATTTGGACCAAATTTGGTACAAACATGTATCTGGGCAATGCAACGACCGAGTTCGAAGATGGGTTCGATCAGAAAAGTTTTGGACGGGTGGGGGTCATATAAGTGGGTGGGGTATTATGCACCAAAATTTCAAAATTGTGATAGAGAGCTGAAATTTGGCATGGAGCGTGCTAATAGCTCCTAAGGAAAGAATATGAAGTGAAATTAGAAAATTTTTCAACCGGAGGGACCCGAGGGGGTGACCCATACCGATTTTTTCAAAATCATCCAATCGAGCTGAAATTTGGCATTGACCCAGTAAACATTTCTCTAAGGTTCGGTCAACGAATTCTCTACGATCTTGTTCGAAATCTAACCGATCTCGAATTCTTCAGTGACTCTTAGTGATTTCTGTATTCCGAGAAATCTGTAAGATTCTCACAGAATTCGCTACAATCATTCGGTAACAAATTGTGAACGATTTTTTCTACAAATTCTGTGAGATTTCGTAGAGAAATTGAGACAAATATTGGACTTGCCAAAATCACTACAAATTTTCACCGAATTCGTTGAGTCCTAGAGATACTAAAGCCTGCGCCTTGTGCTAAATTTAAGAGAGCAACGAGGTGATTGAAATCACGCCAGTTAGTCCACAACCACAGCCATGAGCAGGCTGGGTGTCTTTTTCCTCTCGAATCGACAGAAAAGAAGACTTACTAAAAATCTTGGTGACGACAAAATTTTTACAGACAATTCAAGTAAATTATTAAAAGTAGTAGAAGGAGTAAGTTCATCATCAGCCAACATTTCATCAGCCGCTGGAAGTTCATCTCAAATTATTAGTGACACAGTAACCGTAAGTGAACTTTGTGATGTCACACCCCCAACTTTTCCCCTTGAATTTGAAAGCAACAACGTGATAGATTGTGATTTGGCAGATAGTCTATGTGATTTTGATTATGAACTAGATGACAACGTATAAATTAGACTCATCGGAGTCTGATCAAGAATATTTTAATTCTTCAGATTTCGAAATTGACTTTAAGTATAAATTGCAAAAGTGGAGTTTAGATAATAATATTAGTCACTCAGCGACGTCAGACCTGTTAAAATTACTTAAAACTCATTCATGTCTATCGTACCTTCCATCTGACGCTAGGACGTTACTTCATACCCCTACCAAAACTGTATTGCGAGAAGTGCTACCCGGTAATTATTGCCATTTTGGACTAGAAGTCGGAATTCAGAGGATTTTAGTGAGGAGAAAATGGGAAGGGAAAGTATGTGTGCAAATAAATATTGATGGACTCCCAATTTCCACAAGCGATAAGAAAGAGTGGTGGCCAATTCTTGCTCATATTAGGGGAACGTCGACATCGAACATTATTGTGGTTGGAATATACAAAGGGAAAACTAAGCCTATAAATTTAAATAATTATATTGGTGAATTTGTAGAAGAAGCTTTACGTTTATATAGGGATGGTGTTGATTTAAATACTGTGAAATTTCCGTTTGAAATAGAAGCGTTTGTTTGTGATGCGCCGGCCAGGGCATTTGTGTGTCAAATAAAAAATCATACGGGCTACTATGGATGTGGAAAGTGCACCTTAAAGGGAAAGTATGTAGAAAATAGAGTTGTGTTTATCAAAACCGACGCGAGTGTAAGAACAGATCAAAGTTTTAGAGATAAATTACATCCAAAACATCATAATGGTGATAGTGCAGTGGAGAAATTGCCAATCGACATCATCAAATCATTTCCTTATGAGTATATGCATCTTGTGTGTCTGGGAGTTACTAAAAAACTGATTAAATTGTGGACAGTTGGAAAAATTAGGGTGTTTAGGCTGGCTCCCCGAGTAGCTGCAAAGATTTCTAAAAAATTAGTCAAATTAGGTTCTTGTTTACCATTGGAATTTAACCGAAAGCAACGGCCACTTGAAGAAATAGATCGCTGGAAGGCTACGGAACTCAGAACATTCCTACTATACACTGGTTCAATTGCACTGAAGAAATATTTGCCAGAAAATCACTATCAACTATTTATGAGCCTCTCGGTAGCAATTAATATATTAGTAAATCCTAAAATTCAAGACGAGTTGTTATCATATGCTGACTCCCTACTGCGGTATTTTGTGGACCAGTTTAAAAAAATTTATGGACGAGTTAACATGTCATATAATATTCATGGTTTAATTCATCTCGCGGATGATGTGAGAGCATTTGGATCATTAGACAAATTCAGTGCCTTCAAGTTTGAGAACAAATTGGGTCAGATAAAAAAATTAATTCGGAAACCATCTTCGTCACTAGTGCAGGTTCATCACCGCTTGGCTGAACAAAATTTGCTAGACTTGACGATGAAAAGTTAAAAAATCACGAATACCCGGTTTTTTCCCGATCCGCAGCTGACGGGAGTTACAAACTTGCAGAATTTGAAACCTACTCTCTTAAGTGCGATATAAAAGACGGCATAGTATTTTTGAATTCTCTACAAATTGCTATCATAACTTCTATTTGTTCGGACAAGAAATCTTTTATATGTAGGAAGTTTGGTTCAATTAGAAAAAATTTTACTTGTCCATGTGATTCAACACTTCTCTCGGTTTACGAAGTTAATTTGGAGTCTTTACAAGAAGCGACAACCCTTTCATTTACTGAAATAAAACACAAGTGTGTTTGTTTATCTGAAACTGAATTAAAATTTGTCATCTTTCCATTACTTCACACCAGGTGAGAGATGGACGAGTTTTGTGTTGTGAAGTTTCCGGATGAAAGTGATGCTGTGGCGGTAGTCTGGAAGGGATGGATTCTTGGTGACAAGTGCTATTGGCCAAAATTTTCGAAATACATTACGAAGTTGGTAAAAAATAAAACTGAGGTGGATGTCGAATCTTGGGAGCCTTGTAAAGTAAAGTTAATACATTCGTTTCGTAAGTCAAATAATATTTCTTTTCAAATATATCTTAACTTCACACTCTGTTATTAATAATAAATATTTGTGTCTCTAATATCTGCATACTTCTTTCAGCAACGTATAAGGAGGCTCGAGCTCATCTTAAGCGTGCCGAGTATACATCAGATATTGGTGGAGGCGACAAATCCGAAAGACTGGGAAGGTCCGGACAGGAGGCAGCCGTCCCTCCCACTCTACCACCCTTCCCGATCATGCCTGATAGCCAGCGAGCAGATGAAGAAGCCTATTCGTCGTCAACCAATTTAAGTGCTGCACAAGTAGTTCCTGAGCAGATTTCCTCTATTGGCTTGCCGACTGACGACATTGTTGAAGTGTTTTTCATCGAGAAAGAAGATAAAGCGATTCAAACTGATTCAAACTGAAGTAACAAAGAGTAAGTACTGTCAAATTTAAGTTTTGAAGTACAAATTTTATTCGTAGTTCGTTAAACAATTGGTATTGTTTCACCTTCAGTTATGAGACTTTTGCATTCCATTAAATTGGAACTTCAAGGACACGGACAGGCGTTACGCACCATTCTGGGAAGGGAGTTGTCCAACGGGAGCCCTGCTGTAGTCGCTACGTTATCAGACGAGCTCAACGACTTGGGTTTCCCATTAACGAGAATGGAAGGCATAATTGATTTGGATGATCGTGTCAAGAAGTCAAAAGTAGCGAAATCGGACTTGGTATGTAAAAATACATTTGAAAATGAGAATTTAATTCTGTCTACCAATATTAACCGGGTTGAACAATTTTAGGCCATTATTATGGCAACTTGTAAGGGAACGGACGTCAACACCGTGGTATTACAAATCATGTCGAAGCTTATTGCAGATGATCTCATGGCACAGTTCAGCTTAAAAGGAAAGCGCAAGAAGCGGTGTTTTAACGCGTTGGTCAATTTTCGAGAAGCTATTAATGGTAACATACTCCATTTAAAATTTCATGTTATTCTATGGAGTAAAACCTGCAGTTTTTTTTTAATTTCGAATTTATTCCTCAGATGCAGTTCAGGCCCATCCAAACACTGGTCCAAATGTCGGCATCGACGAGATTGACGTGGCAATAGCAGATTCGCTCAAAAAGGCTTCAGATCGTGAATATCAAAGAAAGAAGTGAGCTTGCATAAATGATTAAATCCAATTTTTAATTATTTTTTATTAACTCGCATTACATATTTCTCTAATTACAGAAAGGGTGTGCCAACGGTGAACTTGGGACAAGCTGTTTGAGTAAAATAAAATAATGAAGTTATTCTATGTTAGCTACGCAAAATTGTACTATAATTTGAATTATTGCAATTTATGTGGTTGAACTAAATAAAACGTTTCTACCAAATTATTGCTGAAATCTACTTAATTTTTCACGAATTCACGGAGAATTCTTTAGTTAGTACACCAAATTAGTGAAGAATTCGCTGAGATTTCTCAACGATTTCGCCGAGTTTTCTCCTTTTCTAATCGTAGAGAATCTCCGAGAATTAGCCTCGATTCGGCGGTCACATCTCAGCGATATCTCAGAGAATTCACGCAGAATCTTCACGAATTTGTTAACGATTATAGCCAAAATTTTGCCCAAATTAACAAAGAATCTCTAGGGAAATGTTTTCTGGGGAACGTGCTGATGGCTCCTAATGGAAGAATATGAAGTGAAATTGATAAAATTTTTGTATAGAGGGACCCTAAGGGGTGACCCATACCGAATTTTAGAAATGGTCGTAAAAAGCTGAAATTCGGCACGGTGATCACTAATGGCTTGGTATGAAATAATATGAAGTCAAAAATGAACAAAAAGTAACCAGAGGGGCACTAGGGGTGACCCATACCGATTTCCATAGAATTTAGGAGGATTGAATTTCTAAATTTTAAGAAACCTATAAGAATAGTAGCAAAATAGTAGCACATGAACATAATTTTATAGAAAATTCTGACAAACGTGAGTTTACTAAACATTCCTGGTTCGGGCTAAGCAAAGCTGTACTGATAGGTTTTTAACTTTTGTCTATGCCAATAAATGTCATGAGAGTTATATATAAACTCTATTGGCATACCTTACGCACGTTATATAAATTTCATTTTCATTTTGCATATTTAGAAACTTGCTTCGACTTAAATTCTTATGTCTGACTGGCGTACTAAATAGTTATTTACACATGTGTGTAATGTAGCTCTAATTTGATTAATGATTTAAAAAATATTGTTATTCCGGACAACATGATTTAATTTGAGCATCATCTCCTGTCACGTGACCGGTGGGGGGGGGGGCTAGCGAAATTATCACCATCGGTCACCAAGGGGGGGGAGGGGGTCAAAATTGTCCAAAAATCGATCACGTGATTTATGGACGCTCCCCCATTAGTCGTTAGTTTTCCGTCGTTAGTAATATGGAATTTTTATTAGCGTTTTATGACAGCGGATAAGTTCCAACGATTAAGCGGATTTATCTCTTAGTTATTTCAATTTTTATAAACAGCACGAAGTTTTGTTGATTATATGGAATTTTGTTAATTACGCGCCGGCTTGTTAAATATTAACAATCACGCCTTATATAAATTACTTATCCAGGAAACGTTCAATCTATGACGAACGTAAAAATTAAAAATTGCTTGTTTCATGTCATTACTACGGATATTTATTTCAGTTTCTTCGCATATATTAATTATTAGGTTTGGAAGCTTTAAATGAGTTTTACTAACATGCTGGTTTCGTCAAACATGCCAAAACTGATTCACTGTTTTTTTACTTTTATAAAATCACATAGATTTCGAGTCTTTTCTGATTACTTAATATATTTTTATAAAATTTTAACCATTTTTAATAAAAACTCATGCCGGTTTCAGGCATAGACTTGAACATCTTACTTCGTATTTGAGAGTCTTACATATGTATAAAATATACCACTTTGTAAAGCCTGATGCAAGATTATTAAAACGGGTGGCCACTTCAAAATTATTCCAATAAACAAATCTTTCCATTAATTTGAAGTGTTTCATTTAATTCAAAAACTATTAAGCATTATGCATTAAGTTAAAAATGAATGATGAAAAAAATGTTGATCCATTATTCATTCAGACAATTTGAATAGAGATATTCGCTCAATCTTCATTTATTCAAAAATCGGAACAAAATATTCATCCTATATTCATTCAAATTTTGAATATTGAATGAATAATTTATTGATTCATCATTAAATGAATGAATGTGAACATGTATGAATACATATGTTAATTATTAAATACGGAAGCTTAAAACGAGTTTTAGTAACATGCTGGTTTCGTCAAACACGCCAAAACTAATGCAAACCTTTAAAAAGTTATCTTCCCATAAACTTGTCGACATCATACTGCTCGCTCTCATATTTAGCGGCACATCCTTGCACGAAGGACTTTACCACTCGGCAAAAAGTCGGTGTCCCCGTCCTTAGCGCGGAGGTTGAGAAACAAGTCTCCGGTGAAATTTTCGTTAAAGAAGCCAGTCCAACTCGATCTTCCCGTTAAAACCATATAATCAGGACGAAACCCAAAATTATTCACACTTAAGGAAGTAAAAGTCGATTCGATCCCACCCACCGCACTGGCTGAGGACCCGCTATAAATTGAGATGGAAGGTGTAGTAGTGTCCAAGGGTCCAAGATATTTCAGAGACAGGGTCGATGGAAGTGTTCCGTTTACGCAGAGTAGTTCCCCAGTTAAAGAAGAATCATAGAATGACTCCGATACAAGGTAATTTGTTTCATTGAAACCACGCCAACTAGAGAAATATACAATTTAGTGGTGTACTTTCTTCTTGGAAATGGACTATTTTTTGTTATCAAAACTTCAGAGAGCAGGGTATGCAACCCCGAGTTTTCGGGGTATTGGTCTTTAGAGGGTTTTGATGGGTTCTGGGGTAGAAAATTTGAAATATACCCACGGGAACACGGGGTAGTCGAGGTCTTCAAATTTAAAAAATTGCACAATATATTAAAACAACATGTTACTGATAATTTTGTAAATTAATTAGAGCTAACAAGGGACACTCACGACCTGTCGTTTGAGTCCAGGGTGGCCACCATGTTTTTTAGAATCTACTTGGACCCCAGATGAACGATTCTTTCATATTTCCATGTAGAACTCATATTTGGCGTCGTGCCGTGGCGCCAAACTTAAAAATTTGCATTTTCGACCAATTTCAAACCCCCATAACTTTTGCAATTTATGTCGGATTTTCAAAATTTTATATTTAAAATGATCACAAAAGTCTAAATTTAAAAAAATAAATAAATAAAAAATTTCTAATTTTTGAAATATTTTTAGAATTTTTTCGACGAACCCCCATTTCTAAGAAAATTACGAAATTTGGCGAAAAGTTAAAAGCGATAATTTTGGAAAAAATTTCATGGGATAAGAAAGTTGAACTGCTTGTGATGATTTTTGCCAAAAATTTTGAAATTCCGTCCAGGATTTCAAAACTTATGGCGGCTTTAAAATTATTTAAAGTTAAATTTGGCGACTGCAGAGCCACGGCACGACGCCAAATATGAGTTTTACACGGAAATATGAAAGAATCCTTCATCTGGGGTCCTAGTAGATTCTAAAAAACATGGTGGCCACCCTGGACTCAAACGACAGGTCGTGAGTGTCCCTTGTAAGTTTGCACTAATAAACTGTGTTACCAAATAGTTGAAATAGTACATGTATTATGTTTTGATAACATAATACATGAGGTACTGACTCAGTTTGACCCAAAACCCCGAGTACCCGAAATACCCCGACTAACCGCAAAACTCAGGTAAAACCTATGGGTATGGGTTGCCAATTGAAAATCCCCGGGGTTTTTCTCACCCTGCTTGAGAGCGTTAAACTAAAATTGTCGATGTCTTGAAATCAATCCAGTTCTGTTTAAAGAATCCTTACAATCCCTTGAGACACCATGATTTTACGTCCCTCAGTAATGGCGAGTAATACGTGAGATCTGGCTCTTTGCTTCGGAATCGAAATGCATTCCCACCTTGGTCAACTTCCGTGTAGAATGTCACCTCCTGGATGAAACCGAGAGAGAGGGCGATGCAGGTCGCAAAGAGAATTAAGCGGAGCAACATTGTGACAAAAATTGGACAGAAGAGTGCGCGATATGATGGGCTTTGCTAGGATCGATGGTACTCGAAATCT